CCTAGATCTCAGGTAATGGTGCTCGACCGTCGAGTTCTGGTTGAAAAACCAGGTCTGGAAAAGGAACGACGCGACTTGTTGGGAAACCTAATAGTGTAATGTTCAGAAGAGGTCATGGTAAGTAGAGGGTACATCATTGATTGATTTCTCCCAAGGGAAGATAAAGTTAGAGATAGTTGTCGGTTTGGTCAATTTTTGTCGGCTGGACCTCCCATTTCGCAGGCCTAAAATTTGAAAACCCTGGAACAGAGGTGGAAGAGGAACATAGCATCTTGTAGAGCAGACAATTCTCTTTCGAATGGTATATGACAATGTAAAAGCATGGGGATTTAGATGAAAATTTTTTGGTTGAAAAAAAGCGACACTTATGAGACAACCTAATAGATCATTGAAAGCTTGGTCTAGTGTAGTAGTGGTTCGCACTTTTGCACGTTGAGCAGTAACCATGGGCCGTATCCAATCCTTCCCCCAGGGGATGCGTCGCCCTCCTCTGATTCAATCCTCCCCCAGCTTTGGGGAGACAAAAAGGGGTTGCGTCATAGGACCGCCATACCTCTGTGTTTCTCTCGTTGTTACATATGAATTCAGACAAAACCTTTTGATCATACCTAAACTCAAGAGTGAAGATGCAACCGAATCCGTGTTTGTATTCACCATTGACGCAGCCGATGCGATATTGGAGAGACTGTGACGGCGATGGGCTGTAATATGACAACTTCATCATAGCACTTGAAAAAAAGGTAGAACGAGCTAGCCTCAAAACGTATCACACTACTTAAGAACTTGCCCCTACATACTTGTAAACGCAGAACCTTTGTATTGCACAGACTAAGTGGTAAATTCATATTTTTTTTAAACTGAGTGAGCTCTTAAAGCGAGAGATTACGATAAAGTGTGTGTGCAAGCATGGAAGTACATGCACCAGTGGAAGCAGTAGTCAGGGCCTAAGGAAGCGAGATGTGGCCTTTTCGTGGCCAAAGGCGCGCTAGTTCAGCGCCCTGGGGCTGCCAATCCTCCCTGAGCTCCGCCTCCGCCGCCTGTGCTCCGCCCATTAGTGTGTTGCTAGCAGCATCATTGTTCTTATCATTTGGATGAGATATTCCACTTCGAGTGTGTATCCTATAACTTTCCCATGGAATGTCATCAATCATGATCTTTGCTGGAATGATAGCGGCTATTGAAATGATAGAGGCCTTCGGTTTAACATGTGCAAACGACCTCCTAGTTGGTTGCTAGCTCGTCCATTATCGGAGGTCAACGGGCAAAGAAAGGGGTCCCATTTTGCGCCTTCTTGACGGATTTCCTTTGCTTTTCCGCCACTGGGACATTACTCAGCATCCCCACTTCCACTATGAACCCAACCCAATCTCATCGCAATCCTTCATTAGCAACTGGAAACTCACAGTCCGATCCTGGCGAAACGCTTCTTCTTTCAGCAACTGTTGCAGGCGGTGGAGCAACTTCTCCCAAACATACAAATCCATCGTCATTGTTTCCGTTTGAATTACTTCCAACAATATGTTCGGAGTCTAAATCACAGGCTGATTCGTCCGCGCTGTTCAATGAAGGAAGGTTAACCATGAGAAAAAATCAAATAAAGGAAAATAACTTTGAAATTTCACCTCCAGAGTGACACGCTTTCAATTATTCAAAGGATATTTTATGGATAAAATTGCAGTGATACAGCGCATTGCGTGGAAAATATGTAAGCAGTATCTTACGACTCAATCCCGCCTGCTGAATCTCAGTTGAAATGTTATGAAACGCAAATGAGTGGCAATTGGAAAGTATAAAGTGCCAGAAAATTTTTAAAGCCCTCATAAATATGAAAAAGAGAAACCTTGCGGTGAAATGCAATGAGGAATCTCTTTTGAATCCATTTTTTGAACAGCATATTCATCATACAAAGTTATACAATTCTTTAAAGGCATGCCCCAGGATCGCACTGGTGTGGCTCTTGCACACGAATGTGAATGTATCGGTGCCAAGTGGGCCGGCAGTGAAGAAAAAAGGAAAAGAATCCGTCGAAAACGCTCAGGTTGAGGGCTCACTCACCTTCCTAATTGGCTGTGCTAAAGGAACGAGAGACTAAGCGCGAAGAGGAGAGTATGGGGCGAGAGAGCGCATCAGATGAGAGAGCACCAGACAACGGCCTGATAAGAGAGCTCGTTCGCTGCAGCTCGAGCAGCTTACTTTGCAAGCCCAAAGCGTTCTTGTCGGTCGAATTCCGTGCACGTGAACGCCACATTTGTGATTGTCCCCTAGGGTTCTATACTTCTGACCGAAGAGAAGAGTTATACACGACCTCTGCCTGGGTTGTGCCTTTAAGAGAATCCTATAAATTTTTAAATGCACCTACGTTAAAAGAAAACATGCTTCAGTCAACATTGAAAACGAGCACTTAATAAGAATATTATCATATTTTCAATTCTAACACTAAGATTTAAGCTATCCCGGTTACTGTTGTTATGTATAAAACAAATACTTCTTGGGATTCAAAAAATTAATTACGAGGAGTAAACTCAGTAAAGAAGAAAAAAACGGACATGAAGTAGGATGTTTCAACGTATCGAGCAAACTATTTTACCCTCTAGGTGCAAATTACAAATTTTCTCTAAAAAATGCGAAGAATGTTCAGGATAGCATACCTTTGAGAGCCCTCGTCGTCAATATCGTCAAGATTGCGATCCACAAGTACCAATAAGTCCCCGATTGTTTGCTGCAGAAAACGAACGACCTGCCGCTCGCTTCGAATTGGCACGTTATTGATAGCAAGCAATGTATCCCCTGTAAAATGTGCTATCCTTGCGACATTACGCAAACCGCCTGGAAAATCCAATGATGTGATAACCCTCACATCATTAAGATCCGTAAAGAGATTGGCACAAAAAAAGAAAATTGCTCTCCACAAGAATATGACCTCAATGAACAGTCAACTTTTCGACTATTCTCCTGGGAGGAAAAACCAGCCTTCAAACAAGAGGAAGAAATCAAGGAGGGCCAAAGTCAAGGTAGAGTAGGGAAACGGTTATCTCGGAAATCAAAATGGGCATACAACTTTACAAAGATTATGCCAACGTTCTCCAGAACAAAGCAGAGTAAGTCAGCAATTGACGGTTAAACCCGTGACATGCAGAAGAATTTTAAATCACCAAGACCCCTAGCAAGATGCATGAATTGATTACCTGGTTTGAATGCAGCCTTGTCTGCGAGACTTCCTTCTTCAACGATGGCGACTCGCACAGGCCTGCTCCCATTCGCATTTATGGCTGTCTGAAAATTTTCCATGATTACACCAAAGATCCTATAAACCGTTGCTAACTCGATAACACAGTCACGTTGAGTTCAACGGAACCTTGCCCCTCACGATATTACTCAAAATCTGGAGACAGAACAGTCAAAAAATGACCCAATATCATAAGAGAGAATATCCGCTGCAAGTTCTGGATATGAAAAACCTTTCTACACTGTCATCTCCCCTGGGGCCATATGCTGTCCCTCTACAGAAGAGGGAGAAAAGAATTCCTTCAAATTTTCTTTGCCTTCAGACCAGACTGCCCTAAGATAAAGCCTATTTCCATTCCAAATATTTGTGCATGTAAAAGTTAAAACATGTTGAAGGTAAGGGAAGAGCCGAGTGACATTCACTAATTCAGCTTCAAGTTCCATGGATAACTTCTAGACAAAAAAGCATCCGTAAACTTGAAAATTCTGGAATAAGAGAGGAGCATTGATGGAATTCTGAACCTACCTTCTCAAAGATCAGTCCGGTTGGTGTGTTCATATCATGGCGAGAAAACGTTAACATGACACTCAAGGAGTGAGCAACATCTGTTGAACTTTGCATGAAAGGTCGGTGATCTAAACGACAGAAAACGGAAGCATTCTTAAAATTCAGTGCAAAGAACAATCGGCACACACCTAAGGTAGCTGTGCAGTAAACAACGTAGCAGCTGGGATCCTTCTCAACT